AAATATATCTTTGATAGGGGGACAGTTGTCAAAGGTCGGACCTAAATAACACTAAAATTCCGTCGCACCAAGCAATCGTCTTTAATTCGGGGCCTAAGCAAAACTTTAATAAACACGACAAAATTAAACTCTATTGCCATTTCTGCTAAATCATTGCCGCATTCCACTTTATCGGCTACTATTACGTAAAAGGCAGACGCCAGATGAGAGTAGCGTGATGTCTTTTTGGTGGTGTACTGTAAGCGGATTTAGGCTTCCGCTAGGGAAAACCAGGCTTGCTGTGTCTTTTTGTTTTATTTGTTAAAGGGCTGGGAGACAGACGTGGACGATGTAGGACGAGACTCCGTCATCAGAGGAGTTGCCTCCACTCTTCTCCATGATGGTCGTACATCCGGGTCACCAATTTGTGGACTGTGTGTTCGAACGCACATGAGGATAATTAGACGTCCTGCTCATAGCGTAGACAGGACACATTTATTTTTGTTGACCGGCTCCTCAGGTCATGTGATAGCGCCTGCTGTAGCGCTAAACGGTCTCGTCGCTGCACAATTCGAGTTGTTATCTTTTGTTTGGAAGCACAGTGAGCTTCCTGTGTTTTACAGGGTGTGGTTGTGACACCTCTAAATCTACAGCAAACTTACGCTCCTTCCTGAATGCAATTTATTGGAGATAGTCAAAGCAGTTTCGGGAGTAATTTATTGATCTTATTTTAATATATATGCTTCCATTATCGTACGAGATAAAGACCGCAGCTTTTATTTTAAATGCTGATTTCTAGCACAAATTGGCAACGAGGTGTCAAGCCCTGGCTCAAGCTTGTGTATTGTTTCGTTTTTTTCAGAAGCTCGGATACACAGGCTGTATCCGAGCTCCGGAAATGACGCGTAAGATGGCGGTACTTTTTTAACGAAAACTTAATAACCCGGACGGAGTACCGTTGTGTCGCTTACAACTTGATGCCAACAAGTTAACGCAGTGTCTTTGATAAGGAAGTGCGATTATAGTTTGTCTCAGTCAGTGCCCCTGAAAAATGATGTTAAAACCATTTCTCGGCGGCGATGGTGCTTAGTTTTGTAGATACGAGCGAGCACGTCAACATAAAAAAAGGAATAACCTCTGGCGTTAAGGCAAAATGTAATTTTTCAATGGTACGAACGGCAGGAATATAAAAAATACTTCCGGTGAGAGTTTGACGCTAGGAAACATATACAAGTCTGGAGACTGTACGTAAGTAAGAAAAAAAGAAGAATAGCACTAGAACTAAGAAATCGAGGTACTTTATACATCCGCTATGTATTTTGCTTTGATACAGAGAGCTGGATGTGTCTGTTTTGAAGATATAAACCTCACAATCTGCAAGAATCAATTTTGTCGAGAAAAATAACTATATTTGCCATCGTGTACTTCATTGATGAAGCAATTTATGTAAATTAAAAAGCACGATACTGTTTTACGAGAAATGTTTTGCAGCGTAGAGTGGAATTTGGTGACGCATGAGGCGAGCAATGCACGCTGGAGGGGCTCCCAGAAGAAAAGGCACATGCAAAAGCGAGCAGAGCTTCTCAAATAGCCTGAAGCTAAAGATAACTCCTTCTCTTGTGAACTTTGTATTTTTATTAACATTTCAGAAAATAATAAAAAAGCGACGTGGAGAAATGCCTAACTCAATATGGGGATCAGATGAACAGCTTGAATTCATTTTTGGCCCGTTTTTTAGAGGAAAAATGAAAGGCAACAAAGCGTAACATAACACGGATGAGTTTCGACTACGTTGAATGCCAAAGTTTTATTTTTATGCATTCATGAACTTGATATTGCCACATGGACTGCGAATATAAAATAAAGATAATAAAGCGCACTTCCTCCATCATGAATTCATCCGCCCGCGTCGATGATCGCGCATGCGTCAGTGGAAATAATTCACATGACTGACGTCAGCTTGAACGTGCAATGATGCGGCCACGTCAGAGTAATTTCGACGTTTCAGAAATTTGTTCCTACTCAATGCTTTTGCGGCGATTGATACATTTTTTTTTTTCGTTTGACTCTATTGCTTCTAAGTTTGGTTGCTGTAATTTTGTTTATCTAATCTGATGTTACAGCGGCGCCCCGTCGTTCTATCGTTTCGTTGGCGGGCAAGTCGTCGTAATAATTCTGCGAAAAAAGGCGACTTCTGAATTTTTTCGTATGCAATCTTCGTCCGTTCAAAACAAGTATGTCGTGAAAGAAACTAAAGCTTCTCAGTTTTCGAAATTCGACCCCGGCATCAAGCCTGCTTCAGAAGTAATCGGTTTTAGCCAGAATAAAGTTCACAATACCGAGAAGTCTTAAAAATTCAACCACCTCCTGTATTGATATGGTTTGCTGGAATCATACGAAAGAGGTAGAAACAATATTGGACGTCGCATTTAAAGCCGCGTGCACGGTGTTCGGAACAAAGCGCCATATTGACTATCGTCGCTGATTGCTGATTTGGCATTCGCGTGCAAGTGTCAGATAGGTGCTAAAAACGCATAAAGTGTTGAAGTTTTGTTTGAGTTGCAAGCAGGTGAATGATGAGCACTATTAAATAAATACCCGACAGCAGTATACATTCAAAGCAACATATGACTCTTTCAGAAAGAAGATATATTTGTTATTATAAAGTAAAGCTATTTCCGCTGTAGGCCTTTTATACGTTGAAAAGCAAAGACGTCAATGAATCGATTAATTCCTTTTCTGGGTACCGTATTTTTCCGGGCTATTGTCCACGGACTCCAGGGCCCGTTTGTTCGAAGCGCTAACCGCGGCTAAAGTTAGCCACAGTACCTAGGAGAGGGATTTTGAAGTCACCTGACTGGCTCGGTAGGGATGCGGGGAAACATGGCGGTGCCCCAGTGAGTGAGCGCCGCTCGCTTTGGAACTAATATGTCGTTGTAGCTGCAATATCGGGCGCGTCAGTCAACAACGAATGGTGCAGGAGGTTTTCGCTTTGCCTTGCCTCACTCTAATTGAAAAGCATGGGCGATGACATCGCCACATTCTTTATATACCGGGTGATTCAAGGAGACGGCAGGCTCTTTAAATCGACCGGAAAATTCGGTTTCTTAACCTATCGCGCTACGACGTTGTGCAGCGTTGCCCACAGATGGTGCTTTTTTTTTTTTTTGCAAAATTTGCAAAGAGCGAATTTACCTGAGGAAAAAGTAAAGAATGAAAAAGGCTTAGCTCCTATGGAAACTCAGCGACGCCACCGGTCTTCAAACAACACGGCGCCGTTTCGCACAGGACAAAAGAGATGGCGCAACGAACGCCGCCAACGAACGAGCACACGGCGCCGAGAGCCAGCGTCTTTAGCAGACAATCTTTTCGACTCAAAAGCGGAGCGCGTTCCGCGGGCGGCGACAGTCGCAAAAACAAAAACAAACGCGGTAACAGCAAGGAACTGCAGTTCCTTGTCTGCTATACTCCGTTTCAAACATAGCGTGCAACGTAGTCAAAGCTAGCGCGCCGGTTCGCACAGCCGACCGCGACTACGTTCGCTCCACAAAATAGTGCGGCCCCTGAAAAAAAAAAAAAAAGTCGAAAAGTGTACATCTTTGGAGCTAGTAACTAATAGTGGCGTTATGATTTCGAGGGAACACCAATTCTTTTTGAATAAAAAAGAAAATATAATGTAAACTACTCCAAATTATTTTCCGTTTTTGTTCGTGCGGCACTCGCACTCGCTTCGGGTTTTCGGGTTGTGCGGCTGCCCTGGCTGCCCCTGCCTCGCCGGTTTCGTGAAGATGGCGTCTTACGCGGGAAGCTTTCTTTTCCTGCTGGGATATTTTCGAAGATTCGTTGTGTGAAGATCTCGCAAAAGTGCAAGCAGGTGATCGCCAACGTGTACGCGAGTTCAAGAACGTGTTTCCCGGAGACGTCGGTCCGTGAGGTCCTGGAGACGGTCAGTAACGACACCGGAGTGTCTGGCAAGGTGGCGTCCCCGAAGCGCAGACCTCGCAACGTGAAAGTTCCGAGCACGCGGACAGTGTTGTGAACTGCCACCTGTTATTTCTGGTGTTGAAGTCGGCCTTATGGCTTCAAAGTGAAACAAGCCTTAAGAAGGAACTGTGTCGGTGATGAATCGTGCCTACGGCTCCGTCTGCTTGCGGGACCTTACAGCAGGCGGTGCCCGTGATTGCATTCCGAAGTGTCTGGGTTCTTCTGCCTGCGGGACCGTAAGTTGGTCGTGACCGTAACCATGGTCGGCTCCGTCTGCCTGAGGCACCTTAACCTTGGTCGGCTAAGTAAACGACGCACATGCCCGTGCCTGTATTCCGAGGCCCCTGCTTTCCTCGAAAAGGAAACAACCCTCGATCCTGATCTCGAGTGCCATGTGTTGTGTACGCGTCTATTGTGAATCACTCCCGGTTCATGTGGGCGCCGGCACCAGAGCACCGAGATACTGCCGTCTGGATGACTTCTTTCATACACCGGCGAGTATTCTGACTCTGAAGGAAACTTCCATGAAGTCACATCACGTGAAAGAATGCCAAGCCGTCTCAACAATGGCAGTGCGGTCCCCTAATCACAATATTCGTTATATAAAGGACCGTCCACCACACTCTCAAGGTACTCTCTGATTTTCACGCTACCATGTAAATAAACGGCTTTAAATAGAGACGCCCTGGATCTCGACCGTTCTTACGTTTTGACGAGGCCGGCGCAAGTTCGAGCGGAACACCAGCCCTAGTCTACCTTCTTATAAATAAAAATCAACAAGAAAAGAGGAATTGAAATATGCACTTCCGCAATACGCACAATCTTGCACAAAAAATCGGTCGAGGAAAAAAAAAAAAAAAAAAAAACACCTTTGCGCCCTAAGTGGATTCGAACCACCGCCACCGAGATGTCGGCATCGCCGGCATCGCCGGAGCAGCGCCTCGTACCGCTCGTCCACGAAATCTTTTTTTTTTTTTTTTTTTCTTTATTTCATGGGAAACAAAAACGGAGAGTCAGAGCACACAAAAATATCGCACTACAAAAATAGGTCCCTCATTTATCACTACAGTTCTTTCATCTGTAACAATTTGTTAAACAATGGTACCCAATCGGGCTTTGTGTCGCGACCTTCGTACACGCTGGTGACTTGTGCCACCAGTTGAATGAAATAACAATGCACAGACTTCGGGGTCTGAACGGCATTTCGCACGTCCATTCGGGATTTCCACATGCTGTATAAACTAAGGAGCATAATAAGGTCATACGGAACGGTGTCCCCTGGCGTTACGGGCAGAAAACGAATGGAATGCGGTGTAATATCTAGGCTTTTGCGCAAAGTTCGCTGCAACACATCCCAAAAAAAAATTGCGTCCCAGCAGTTGATAAAAATGTGCTCAACAGTTTCGGGCTCCTTACACAATAAGCAGTTTACAGTCCATGGAACAAAGATACCCTTCTCCTGCAACCATACCTTGGTGGGTAAAATAGAACAATGTAATTTGAAGAAGAATGTTTTGATCCTAGGAGGAATTCCCATCTTTTTTACACGACACAGCACATCTTGCCCAGGGTGATTTTTGTACAAGACTCGGTATATTGGCGTTGGGAAGAGAATATCAACAAGATCCCGTGTTAGTTTTTTCCTCGAGACAGTTGCGAGGTACTCCCGAGAAAAACGGACCGCTAGAAAATTAAAGGCGTCAACAACCTCTTTCAGGTATCCCACCAGTCTTGGTGGGTGATATTCAACGGTTGACACAACAAAATTGGGGATAAAGGATGCCAGCTGGTTTTGGATGACTTCGCGAATAAAAGGGACTTCCTGGTCTCTTAAAAAAAGAAATCGTGATACCAACTGTCTAACGAATAAGTGGGGCAGGCCCACACCCCCGTCTGCGACACTACGGAAAAGGTTTTCCCGTCGCATAGGCTCCCAAGTTGAAGTCCATATGAAAACCGCAAAGACACGGTGAAACTTTTGTATATTGTTCCTTGCACAGTGTAGAACTTGTAGCACATACCAAAGCTTGGCAATCAAAAAAACGTTGCATATAGTTGCTCTCGTAAAAATCGACAGATCTCGGTGGATCCAGCGCTTGGAGCGCTTGTCGATATCTGCTGCTACAGTTGACCAATAGGTCGTGCTGTTTCTGTGGCTCTCCAGTGGCACACCGAGGTAGTTGCATGGAGTGCAGCTCCAATGGATGTCCTCGAAAACTTCGGGCGTGCTCGCCCACGTTCCGTGCCAGAAGCCCCTGCACTTTTGCAGGTTCACCGAGGCACCCGTGGCTTTGCAGAAAGTGTGCGTCAACCGCAAGGCGTGGCTTACACTCGTTTTGTCGGTGCAGAAAAACGCAACGTCATCCGCATAAGCCAAGACTTTGGTTTCAACGCTGTGCAGGATATATCCTCGGACATTTGAACTTTGGATTATGCTCTGACACAGTGGTTCGAGGTACAAAGAAAAAAGTAAGGGGGACAGCGGGCACCCTTGCCTCACAGAAGAATGGACTGGTATACTTTCCGTCACGTTATTGTTAAGCACCAAACTCGTGTAGCAGTTGGTGTACGACATCTTAACGCCTTGTAATATTATCTTCCCAACGCCTACATGCGCCAGTATCTTGAAAAGGACATCATGCTGAACGCGGTCAAACGCTTTCTCTAAATCAATTTGCAACATTGCAACTTGGTCGCCTCTTCCAGACACACAATCTAACACACTTCGGGCCACGTGAATATTGCTCTGGATTGCTCTACCCCTTATCCCACATGTTTGATGTTCCCCGACTACTTCACAAATAATAGATTGCATTCTGTTTGCCAGTACTTTTGCGAAAATCTTGTAGTCCACATTACACAATGTTATCGGGCGGTACCCTTTCACGCAGCGTCGTTGGTTGTTGTCCATTTCTTTTGGAATAAACACCGTGTGTGCCCGTAGAAACGAAGGCGGGAGCGCGTTTGCCTTGTGGGCCTCTTGAAAAACTTCATGCAGCACGAGACAAATCTCGTTCTTGTGCACTTTATAAAACTCAGCGATTATCCCGTCGGGTCCCGGTGTTTTTCCTTGTGGGAGAGCGTCCACAGCATTTACAATTTCTTGCACACTAATCGGTTCTTCAAGGGTTTCAACACAGTCTTCACTCAGTCGCGGTAGTAACGTTATCAATTTTGCAAGACCCTTGGTATCGTCTGCGAATGCGGGACAGCTTAGCAGTGCTCGATAGTGATCAAGAAAGACGCGTTCGATCTCCTCCTTATCAGTGACGATTCTGTTTCTGTGCTCTATCTCTAGTATTTCCTTACTCAGTGCGTGTCTCTTTTCGTCTTCCAACGCCTTCTTTGTGGGTTGCTCTCCCAAGAGAAACTTTTCTGCCCTCGACCGCACGACCGCGCCCGCGTACCGTTCCTGATAAAGACTGTCAAGCTGAGCTTTTATGTACTCTATGTCTTTTGTTCCGTAGCCAGGATTTTTGCATTCCAGCTCGTATAAAAGATGCAAGTCACGCTGGAGTTGCTTTTCTTTTTCGTGCTTGTAATAATTAAGCGTGCTTGCTCTTTCGATTGCCAATTGTTTTGCGTCTTGCTTAAAGGTTTCCCACCTCGCAAAAATGTTTTCCCCGTTTTGACCTACTTTTCTAAGTAATTTTCGCGTTTCGGACACGAAAAACTCATCTTTAAGTAGCTGAGAATTTAGCTTCCAAAGTTTCCAATTGATGCGCTTATGCTTCCTCCGTTTTTGTCCAATCGTTATCGCAACCATGCAGTGATCTGTGAATAACACAGGTTCCACAGTATAAGCATTTAAAAGTTGTATTAGTTCAATAGAACAATACAACCTGTCTAGTCGGGCATGCGACGCCCGTTGAAAGTGCGTGAACTGAATGAGTTTGGTTCCTGTTTGAAAGTTGGCTACGTCTAGCAAGCCTCCCTCTTCGACTACTTCGAGCAATAGTTGTTCACTTCTATCAAGATGGGGCCTGGTCGGCGTTCGGTCATTTAAGTCGCAAACACAATTGAAGTCTCCAAGGAGTACAACTAGTCTATCACACACCAAGTATGAGCGCAAGTGATTGAAAAACTGAACTCGAGAATTCACATCGTTTGGTGCATACACACAAATCACCCGCCACTTGCATTCCTGCACCCGGAAATCACACATAACAAAGCGGCCCTGCAGGTCAACCGTCAGAGCTAGTTCGCTTAACTGAACTGACTTTTTTATAAACAAGAAACACCCCCCCGAAAGACCGGCAGCATGGCTGACACATACCTCGTATTTTCTCAAAAAAAGTGGTAAAGCGCGGTCAACCTCTTCCTCATTCTCTAGCTTTGTCTCTTGTACTGCTAAAAAGTCAATCTCCTTTTCTTCGAGTATACGGTGTAGCTGATTCTGCTTTTTCCTCGAATGAAAACCGCGTACATTTAAGCTGGCGAAGCGGAAACCGCCCATCGCTGCTTAAGGGGGTGGCTTTTCCTGGGCTTGCCGCGCAAGCGGCTTCGACACGTTTATGCGCTTACTTGCGTATGTGACCCCCGGTTCCAATTTCTTTCGCTTGACGTCACTGACACCAGTTCCCAGAGCAGAGTTTGTGTCCACTCCGTTCCCTTGACCCTCGGGAAAGGGACCTGCTTGCTTGGTTTCACCTTGGTCTCGGTCGTCCAGCTCCGAAGGTGTAGCAGCACTGCCGCAGTTACTGCCTTGCTCCATGGAAGAATCATCCCCTGTCTTCGAGGACACAGGTATGACTCCTGGGTCTTGTGGCTGGTGGTCGTTGATGGCGCCGGTCTCGCCTGGTACGGAGGGAAGACTGTTTGCAGGGCCGCCCGTGGACGCCCCCACTTCGCCGTTGGCTCCCACTACTTCGGACACGTCCATGAACTGGTCGAGATTCGATTCGGCATCCTCGTCACCGCGCCTCAGCACCGTGGCATAGGTCGCGTAGCACTCGTTGTCTTCGTGACCAAATTTGTTGCACTTGGTACATTTTGGTGCGCGGCACTGTTTCCGGATATGGCCTACTTTTTTGCACCGTAGGCAAAGCGGTGGTCTTCCAGGCACAATGACAAGGGATTGCACCCCATATACCTTGATCATATGGGGCAGGTCGGAAGAGCTGACGGCGTCGTGCAGCGTCATGCTGACTTCTCTGTTCATGGTTTCCAGGTGTTCCATTCCCGGGACTCGCCATTTCTCCCTAACGATGTTACGAACTTTACCGTAAGGCTCGAGAGCTTCCACCACACGTCTGTCTTCCAGATACGTTGGGAGCCAAAGTAGCCTTACCCTAATGTCCTTTGCGTTGGGATCCAGCACCAGACACTTCCGCCCCTTGACCGTGAGCTGTCCAATCCTTTTCATCTTTTCTGTGGCAGCCATGCTTGCGAGAGTGATCATCCATATGTGGCTCATTTGGAATTGTCCAATTGAAACCACGTCCGTCATGTCCACGATGTCCTTCAGTCCGTCTCGAAAATCCACAGCACGGTACGGTCTTCCCATCAGGTCCGCGTGCAAAAACACGGAATTCAGACACATTTTTCCATCTGGGAAACGGGGCAACACCACACGATACTCATCGCTACTGCTGGCTGCAGCGTCGATGCTTCCTCGGCCCGCGTGGGCCGATAACGCGCCGTTATCGGAGCGAATCATCGTCCGTCCGCTCTCGTCGAAAGCCGGAAGCGAACTCCGCTCGTCCACGAAATCTCGCGGAGTAACACAATTTTGTGTGTTTTTTCATGCGCACTACTTCAGTAGCTTTCCCAGCGTTGCACGCGATGTTTGAAACGGAGTATAAATACGCCGGCTCTCGGCGTCGTCTGCTCGTTCGTTGGCGGCAGTTGGCGTCGCGACCGCTTGCGCCATCTCTTGTCTCCCGTGCGAAACGGCGCCGTGTTGTTTGAAGACCGGTGGCGTCGCTGCGTTTCCATAGGAGCTAAGCCTTTTTCTATTTTTCCTCAGGTAAGTTCGCTCTTTGCAAGTTTTACAAAAAAAAAATGCACCATCTGTGGGCAACGCTGCACGAAGTCGTAGTGGGATAGGTTAAGAAACCGAATTTTCCGGTCAATTTAAAGAGCCTGCCGTCTCCTTGAATCACCCGGTAGTGTTTCGATTTTGGCCATTCCTAAGCCTAAATGAACGCGATAATTGTCGGCATGGCAACGTCTTTGGAAAGCGGATTGCCTCGACTCCATCGGCTGGGTATTGATAGCACACAAAAGCAGACAGCGTCCCAACCAACGAGCTTGGTCCTAACGGACTTTTTCTTAGAACATCCAAGCATCGCGAGGAGAACGCTGGAAGTGTAATTCTACGGTCCGCGCGCGCTGGCCTTCCTCTTATAAAAGATTCAAAGTAAAAAAATCATAATAAGGCTTTAACGAACGCGCTTGCAAGGCAAACATTTTGTTTTATACTTTTTGCTTTAGAACGGTTATTACTGCAGACGCCAGCACGTGCGGCGCGTGCAACTACAGTCGTAGCATGCACCTCGGTCCTTGGATAATGTAGAAAAAAGGTGTGTTGGGACGCTGTTTGCTTTTGTGTGCTTTTAACAATCCGCTTCCCAAAGACGTTGCCATGCCGACAATTATCGCGTTCATTTAGGCTTAGGAATGCCCAGAATCGAAACACTATCTAAAAAATGCGGCGATGTCATTGCTCATGCTTTGCGGTTTAAGTGAGGTAAGGCAAAGCGAAAGCCTCCTGCACCATTCGTTGCATTTGTTGCATGGTCAACGCATGTCTTAAAAGATTTCCCTTCAGAGAAATAATTTAATGCCTATTAAAAAAAAAAAATTACGTATATTAGATGGCATTCGAACCCCTGACACTTCGGTTGCAAACCAGACACTCTAGCAGTGCTTGACAAGGAGCGGGAGTTTTTTTTATGTTCATATGTTTGTTTGTTTCGCTGATGCGTTACAATGATAAAGGTGAAGCTTAAGCGCCCTCCAAGTTTTTTCTCAATAGTTCATAAAATCATGGTGCATATTTTTCCCCCATTCGTTCATTGAAGCTGATTGTGATTTATTGTTACTTAATTTTTTCCTCTTTCATGCGTCTTAGCATAAATCACATTTGTAACAAAGCTTGAATAGAACCCTTTCGCAAGATTGCGCTCGGCTGGTAGATGTGGAACTCTTGCACAATGGAGGACGAAAACTGCAACGCCAGAGCACACTTTATGCGTGTGGTTGTATTGGAAAAAAAAAAAAAAGACCCAGAAAGAAATGCGAACTCGGTGACGTTGCCTCTCAGACGTTGTTTGATTGGGTCGTCGGGTCCTACTCCTGGCCGTGATACGACACTCGCTATCTTATGGAATGAGTTCCACGTTCAACGATGTCAGTTGTTCCACATTAGCGCAGTGGTTTCTACCTTCTAATATTCGACAAGCGACTTTGGAAAAGGGCTTATTGGCCAAATAGCATGCCTAGGCACGATTTGGATTACTTTATACCCTTACAAAAATGAACAATGAGTTTCAATTGAGCTTCTAATGTGTTTTTATTGAGTCAAATGAAACTCATAAGAAACTCACCGTTAAATGAGTTTTATCATTACCACCTCCGTATCTATTCTTTTGAATTTACTCATTACAAATTCAAGTGAGGTTTATCGTTACCCAATCACTATCAATTCTTTTGAGTTTACTCATTACAAATTCGAGTGATGTTTATCGCTACCCAATCAACAGCAATTCTTTTGAGTTTACTCATTACACATTGAAATGACTGTTATAAAAAAAATAACAAAAAAAAATCTACTCCATACGCCATTGCACCCGAAAAAAAATGGCGCGTCGGTGCCAGTTCTGATATACAGATTTATTTCCTGTGCGTAAAAAAATAACTGTATTCACCCCCTTTTACCCTAAAGGCTTATTCACACCATTCATCTTTTAAACACGCCACAGTCTAGCGAAACCAAGATTTCGCGAAATCGGCCTGTTCACACGTGGAGTTTGACGCGCGAAACCTGTGACGTATTGACTCACGAGAATTTCGCCAAACCTTGTCATCTGCATCGGAAATACCAAGCGTTTCGCATCAAAATGATATGAAGTACGCACAGTGTGAAGAGACAGCCTGTTTTATTAATGCCACTCAATGAATTTCGTCAGGTTCGGCTCACTGGGTTTGCTAGTCCTGCCAAACCCGGGAAAAACCGCGAGATGATCTCGAAGCATTTCGGACATTTTTGCAGCGCTAATAAGGAACGTTATCCCGAGTCATCATGTTTATATACGGTGCTTGCACGGCCGCGACTGTTGACGAGTCTGCACCGCGCCCCCAATCCGTACTGCAGGCGCCGTTCACACACTTGCGACCGAGTAGGACCAAGACTCGTCGCCCGTACGCACCGCTTCTCCGCGTGTCGCTCGCCATGTTTGTTTGTTTTCTTTCGGCTTCGGCTCGGATACGGGATCGGCGAAAAACCGGACTCCTCCAAAAGCTCGCTTCTCCTCGAAGGTCAGACGTCATAGCGAAGTCGAGCGGCCATTGGCAGCGTCCGTGTTTCTCCTTCGGGTGATTGACGGGCGTCGGTGAGGTTTCAGCGAAACATTGCTCCAGAAGCGAGAAACACGCGCCACTTTTTTCGTCATGGATGAAGGAGGAATAAAACAATTAAAACAGGGACAACACAACCATATATTGTTGTGTTGTCCCTGTTTTAATTGTTTTATTCTTTCTTCATCCATGAGTTAAACCAACACGCTCTTCTACCAAGCACTTTTTCCGGAGCCGCGCCACTTTTTCGGTCGCGTTCAGCTTCCCGAAACCTAGTTTCGCTACACAAGATTTCGCCACCACGATATACGGCGCCCCTCTATCGCGATTTGGTCAGTTTCGGTTTCAGTATTGTAACTTTTACTGGTTTCGGTTTCATATTTCAAGGATCGCGTCTTCGACGCCCCATCGTTAGCGACACCAGTTCTTTGTTTTTTTCTTTTTCCGGCATGGTCGCATGGTTTCGTCAGTTTTGTGACCGTTGGAATTCGCGTTTGTGGTGCGTTGGGCCGTTAGACATGGAAATGTGCTAATTTAATCAAGTTTATCTATCTGTGAAGTTTTCTCTTGTTATGATTATGTTCAAGAAGAGCGCGGAAGACCGACGACGCGACAGAAGGAGCAACTCAGCGCAGTTGGTAAGCATACTTCTTTGTTTGCATTGTACGCGTTGAACGAGAAGTAAACATTAGGGAGTTTTAGAATAACCTCGCGGCTGCTGTGCATGCGCAGACCCAAAACAAGCTTCGGGCTCGAGCTTTGGGGCCCGTTATTTTTGGATAATAGCGTAGGTACCGCAAAAGGCGGCGCCCACGACATCTCCGTTGATGGCGTCTTCGACGCCATCGCCCGCTCGGGAACTACGTGTGTCGCACTCGGCGACCACGGTCGGTATGGTCGAAGCGTATTGAAAACGCCACGGATCGCTGGATTCACAGCTCAAAGCTATCGAGGCGCGTGTACTTACGGTCGCGGCAGACATGGAAGCATGCCTGGGTAGTGGATCGTCTGGGCTTCGTAAGTACAGTGCTAATCACACTTTTCTATAACGCGCGAGCGTGCGGCTTTCTCCGGCGTGCGCTAGACTGGTGGCATTCGCAGAAACTAAGCTAGTCACGTGGCGCAAGATGGAAGAGCCCGCTCCAGGGGTGTCCTGCCCACTCTATCAGCTTGGTAAGCGATAAAAGTAAAGTGCTTTATGACATAATTTTGTTTTTTGATGATGACATTGTTGATACGCCTTCATGCTTTAGTTTGTTTATTATTCGAACAATGATGTTTGCAAAAAGCGTTTGAGCAGCTTTCCGCGTTTGCCGCCAGCTGATAGAGATGGCAGGACACCCCTCGAGCGGGCCGTTCCATGTTGCGCCACGTGACTAGCTTAGTTTGCGCGAATGCCACCAGTCTAGCGCTCCCCGGAGAAAGCCGCACGCTCGCGCGTTATAGAGAAGTGTGATTAGCACTGTACAACAGAGCAGCTTGGCAGTGACAAAAACAAAACATGCGGCATTGAGTATAAAACAACTATAAAAATGTTACTCGACAAAAAGCTTGTTTAATTTTCAAGATGAAACGTTCTAACTTCCTAATAAAAGCTGTCGCGACATCTTGGTGGCGTTTTAAGCGCGAGATGCTTGCGTTTTGGGGGGTCCCCGGCAGAGAAACGCTATTCTAAAACTCTTCGCCACTATCCTCGCTATTTTGCCGTCCGTAACGCGCGGTAAAGTAACGCCCGATATTCTAAAACTCCCTATTTTCTCGGCACACGTTTTCTCGTTAAGCTAGTATGTTAGGACAAACTTCGGTTTCCTGACTTTATAGAATTGAACTGGGTTTACATGTGTCGGTTAGAACTTTTAGTAAAGCAGTTGTTCCTTTTCGCCCTTTTTTTTTTCTCTGTCATTTTGCAGTTGTGATGTGATCAAGTCGAGGGTCGCAGTTATTCCCAAATGAAGCAGCAGCAGTGTGTTCGCAGCTTGCGTCCCTTCGATTCATTTGAAGGCATGCCACGAAATGAATGCCCCTGTTCATACACCGTTGGATTTGGGACTGACTTTAAAATGCAGTTCGACACAGAGATTATGCGGTATGAAATGTGTGTTGAATGACCTATGCGGTTGTCACAGGTTCGTGGTTGGTGAACCCGAAACGCTCCAAGTGCCACTTCCTTCTTCTTGTCTTCCTCTTCCCAT